CTGAGTGTGTCCATCGAGTGACAGAGGTACGAGGCTTCAGTGATCCACAGAAAGAGGAATATTTCAGGAAGAGAATCAGAGATCAGAGTCTGGCCAATACAATCATCTCACACCTGAAGTCATCAAGGAGCCTCTACATCATGTGCCACATCCCAGTGTTCTGCTGGATCTCAGCCGCTGTTCTGGAGAAGATGTTGAGTCCAGCAGAGAGTGGAGAGATTCCCAAGACTCTCACTCAGATGTACACACACTTCCTGATCCTTCAGACCAACATCAAACATGAGAAGGAATATGAAAAGAAAGTCAAAGATGAAGACATGATTGTCAAACTGGGGAAACTGGCTTTCGAGCAGCTTGTGAAAGGCAACCTGATCTTCTATGAGGAAGACCTGCGAGAGTGTGGCATTGATGAGACAGAAGCAGCAGTGTACTCAGGATTGTGCACTCAGATCTTCAGAGAGGAGTTTGGCTTGAATCAGGGTAAACAAGTATTCTGCTTTGTTCATCTGAGCATCCAGGAACATCTAGCAGCTGTATATGCACATCTCTCCTTTACAAAGAACTACATGAATGTGTTTGACCAAACTGAACAAAGTGTGTTTTTTAAATTTGTAAACTGGCTTAAATATCATTCATTATCTGTTCTGCATAAGAGAGCTGTGGATGAAGCTTTACGAAGTAAAAATGGACATTTGGACCTTTTCTTGCGTTTTCTTCTGGGTCTTTCATTGGAGTTCAATCAGACTCTCTTTCGAGAACTAATGACACAGACAGGAAGCTGCTCCTACAACAAAGAGGAAACAGTTGAGTTCATCAAACAGAAGATCAGGGAGAATCACTCTCCAGAGAGATCCATCAATCTCTTCCACTGTCTGAATGAACTGGGAGATGATTCACTGATGCAGGAGATCCAGGATTATCTGAGATCTGGACAAATAGGAGAAACCAAACTCTCCTCTTCACAGTGGTCAGCTCTGGTTTATGTGCTGCTGACATCAGAGAAGAAGATGGATGAGTTTAATCTGAAACAGTTTATTGGAGCACGACATACAGCAGATGAAGTTC